CTTAATAATTTCAGCCCTTATTTTTGACGTTTTATGCTATGAAGAGTGTTGACGGAAAGCTTACGTCATGTTGTGAAATGCTTGCCTTTTCATTGAAATCTTCAAACCATTAAATTTAAGGAACAACACAACAATTTTTAAACAATCCATAAATTTTAAAATCTAGAAAAGAAATCTTGAAAAGACGAAACGTTTTCGCAGCGGCGGCAAGATTTTGGAATATTCGAAGCTCATTTCGTCCTTGACAAAATCTTTGCAGTTTATTCTAAGCCTCGATCTGACTCTGAGTCACAATATCAATGTTTTTTGCAGTTTTAGACACGAGGATGCAAATTCGTGGAAAACATGGGAAATTCTTAGCGTGTACTTTCAGTTTTTCAAACTAGTATAAGCTGCTGAGACTTTTTAACAGTGACAGCTCTTTAGTCTCAAATCTCGAAATCTGATACATCTCTTTGAGAGTGATTCACACGTCAGTCTAAAAGTAATCCTGTAATATCTTCTCGCAACTGCACTCTTTGCAACGGTGTGCAATAAACATAACAATCTACATAAAGAAGTTGAAACAAGAGATCGGTAATTAGAGGTTTTCGTTAAGACCTTGTAAATGTTTATCAATGGAGAAGCCCATTGAGCTAGCAAAACATCTAATGTAGTTCGTAATTCTAAAGAAACTAGAAAATCATTGCCTTAATATGAGAAATTAATCTAGTTTATTTCTAGAATAACAACTCAAAGGTTAAAGACTCTGGCAATGCCTACTATAATAGGAGAGACAGCTTCCATGGAAAAATACCTAGAATACGTATTTAAATCTCAAAAATCTTAAAAACGACCTCCAACAAAGCTTTATGTAATACATTCGCCAACGTCAATTTGAATTGGTCGCTTATTTTCATGCCAAAATGACCTCCAAGCATTTCCCTTTCTTGTATGCTGTTGCGTTTGCCGACAAGCACCTCGTGAAGATCATTTATGGAAGGTGTATTTTCCCTTGTTCTTTATTAAATTAATAAATCCTACGAAGAAAGATGTTTCCTTGTTCCCTTGATGAGTTTTTCTTTTACCTCATTCTTTTGTAGCATAATTGAAGATGAAAATACAAGAGTTAAAAAGGATCTATACATTTGACACTTTCCTTGCAAGTAGAAGAATGTTAAAGTGAAAAGAAATAAATGTGGTCTTGAAAGAAAACTATGCAATAAGACACAACAGCACCAATACCCTGGATTTTCGTTTTACATAATTATGCAACATGGTTTTGGTTTTTACTCCGCAAGCGACATTAAAAGATAAATTTATGCAAAATATTTCTAATTGAAATGATTCTGTGTCAAGCTTGCTCGTGTTCACATGAATCTCAAAACAATCCTCCATCGCTGAAATTGCACAATCTATCAAAATTTAAATCGTTCTTCTAGAAAGTTAAAGTAACATTTAGGCCAATAATTTCTTTGTAGATTTTACAGCAGATTAAGAAATACCAATCTCCATGCTTTTCCATTCTGGTCTAGCGTTGCTTAAATTTTCATAAAAGGGGCTGATGGAGGGCAAGCACTAGTTTACAGAGAGTCAAATGTAAAACATGGCTTAAAACACTGAATTGTTTGAAACACAATTGTCTACTCATAGATTAAAAAAAGCTTAGATTAATAAAACTAGCTTAAAAGGTCAGCGTCTAGAACCCATTAGTATATGGTTTAGAGACATATCCCCATTAGCAAAACTCTTCTTGTAGACTTTGGCGAAGATAGGCTTAGAATTTCAACAACGGTGTGCTGTAAATAAAGCCTGATCCAAAGATTGAAGGTGCTTGCAAACAGGAGAAATTGCAAAAAGCCTCATTTTAATAAAGCAGAGCTTCTTTAATGTTGACCATTGCGTTTATTCTTTGCTTTTTCATCTCTTTTTAAGTGTTAAAACAGATAAACCTGAATTTTTCAAACTGAATCGTGTTACAGCTTTTGTTCGAGCAAAATGCTTAGTGCAAGAAATAACCATAGTTCTGTTTCCAATGCATTACTGGTTGTTGATATTCATTCATTTCTAAAATATGCAACAATGTATATTGTTCTAGATGGAAAGAGAATTTAAACAGTTCAGACGCCCCCCCCCCTGACTTTTGAAACGGCTTTTAAAAGAATTTGAAAAGTAGCAATATTTCGAGAGTGGAACAATACAGTACTAAACCTCCAATTGTTGAGACACTAATAAACTTTTTACATGACGCAAGATTAGACCCCTGCCCCTTGTGCAACGCATTAAGTTCTGTCAAAAAGATCTTGTAAGAAGATCTAATACCCTTTTTCTACCACGTCTTAGTTACTGTCAATAGAATGTTGCTTTAAAAGAAGGCTGTTAATGGTAAGTTGTACCACACTACTCTCTTCTACGAAGCATATAGGATGTTGCGTAATTTAAAAGTGAAAAGACAGAAGCCTGTTGATTGCAACATGAGTATCCTTCCCTTTTTCCGACGATGTTGTCAATAGAATGTTGAAATATAGATCTACAGGGTCCCCACCACGAATTTGAAAGTGGGGGAGGGGGACAAGGCTTCGTCCTCTTTAACTGCAGCTTTAGAACTACTTGCTTCGCAGAAAAGTGGGGGCATGGCATTCCACCCCCTCCTTACTATTGCTGTGGTCTCTGCCTTTCCCTTCTACGAGAATTCTAGTAGAACTACTGTAAGTTGCAAGTTGTTTTATAACCTAATTTTAGAGGTGAAGCATTTGCTGCTAAGGTATGTCCTCTGCTTTTCGATAGTCAATGTCAGCAGACATGCGTAGGAGAGATAGGGGCTTGGGGAGAGGCCAACTTGGCTATCTAGTATGTTTCTTGAAAGCATACTGTCATCTGGATGTTCTACTATTAGTTTGAAATAAACTGAGGCTCTTACGTGTGAGGCGTTCACTCTTTCACAATAATCCGAAAAATATACGCTATTAAATCTATTACTGACATTTCAGTATTAGCTTAGGAGTGTTACTACCCAAAAAATAACAAAAGTGTTTTCATTTCAATTCATTTCGTTCCAGATCAACTGGATTCTCCTCTACTAGAATTGAGCTGATTCCTCTCCAGTCTACCGTCAATTCTCGAATAAGCCTGGTTAAAGATGGAGGCTAATTTGAGGGGGTGCTCCTACAAGGGGGCTTACTTATCATAATCATCTCTAAGTTGCCATACAACTTTTTTGTAGCTTTTTCACATTCGTTAACTGCAAATTTACCTTTCTTGTTTTGAAAAATATCCAACTATTGTGTAAATCAAATAACACAAAGATATTTTATTCCACATTTGTTGACATGTACATTGTCTTCGCTGGTCTTTTCGAAATGCCTCGTTTATTTTCCTCGTTTTTCCATTCTTTTATCAATGATAGTTTATTTTTATTTTCAAATAGTTTACTTAGAATAGTTATTTTTTGCTGTTTCTCGATTTGGCTATGGAGCATATTACGATGCAACAATAAGCATTTTAGGGCTGAGGCCTATTCGAGAGGAGGGAGCATAGAAAAATGAGGAAGTAATTCGAGGATTCACGGTATTCAGGGATCAACACCACTTCGATATGCAAGCAACAGCTTTCTTTTCAGGACATCAAATTAATTGGGAGAGATACAAAATAACATAGGTTGTGCCTTAAACTTTAGGAAGTGAATGTTTAGGAAGAAGTCTTTGTGTGAGCATTCAAGCTGTACAGGACATGCCCTTGCATTGGACCGAAACAAGCCATTATTATGTCATATATACTTTGTTTACAAAAATAACCAGAAAGCCACAAAAGGATGTCTTGATTTGGTAGCTTAAATTGTGATGCCAACTTTTACCATTTCACCTCACTTCCCTCCAAAGCAATGTTGATAGTTTGGGTAATTTTTGTACAGAAGCCCAAACGTTTTCCCTACCCTCAAAAGTCACAACACTGACAAAGGGGTATACGGCATGGTAAATTTAATTTGTAAAATCCTGTTTTAAGGCTTTTGTTGTGATTCAGATTCGTAGCAGGACAAGAAATTCAAATTCTAGTAATAGCAAGACGAATGGTACGTTTAATCGAACGTTCGTTTTTCACTATTGTAATCCGATGAATTAGAAGTAGCTTGTCTGAAGAAAGCTATCAACTTGGCAAAAATTAGGGTGCGTGTGTAGATATTTGTAATGAATTTAAACAGGTGTCTAAATATATGGATACTTGCGATTATAATAATGATGATACTTGCATTGATGATTAATATTATTATTGCAATAATTCATTGCGCTGCTTTGAGAGGGTGGTGGATGTAAAGGTGTGAGGATGGCTCAGTGATTGAAGTGGAGGATTAACTATAGATCGAAGAGTCTGTGGGATTCAAGAGTTTGTGGGTCGTGTCCCTGAAACGATGAAACTTTCACTAAATGTGTTAAGACTAAACGTTGAAACTTTCACTAAACGTGCTACCTTTTTTGCAATTTCAGGAATCACGAGGTGTGGTCACATCGAGGCCAGGACACTACTCCACAATCGTAGCTTCTCAGTGTCCTAAAAACTACCTTGGGTGCCAGGTAGTTGCAAATTCAAATAAAAAATCAATGACATTGATTGTTTTCTTTCTCATTTCGTATTTAATGGTGTTGTGCTACGTTTATCAGCTTTTGCATGATCCACGAATTACCCAATTTGGAGCGTATGTCCGTCTTTGACAAGATCTTGGGCGCGCCCACAGACCCGCACCTCATTTGCGGGTGCGCAAAAATTACCCGAATATGCCGGTTGCTCCAGAACTATCATTTTTCCTTCTTAAAATTGAATGGAGCTAGGTTTCAGGTAAACCCTCAACAACACCATGTCTACATCTTGGGTGCGCAATCGCCATGCTTTACATACTGGTTAATTACTTGTAAGTTCCTTTATCAGACCATAAATGTGTGCCAATGTGTGCCATAAACATAAATATGTGCCAAAATGGTCTAGTAGCACGATCAATTAGAATGAACAGAAAATGTATTGAAACTTACCATGAACACTTTGTACATATCTATACTCGATGGTATTTGTCCTCCTGATAACGGGTAGACCATGTTTGCCAGCCAGTGCAGCCTTGACAGCACATCCTGCATAAAGATATTGCAAATTCATAGCAATGCTTCATACATAGAAATGATCAAACACATGCTATTAAAAACATAACTTATAATAAGGAGCCCTTTTCCATTTAATGTTATAAGAGACAGCTGTGGTCCCCAGATCCCAAACCTAAGACTGGCTTGTTTTGCCAAGGCGTGGGTGTCCTTATCCATTGCATACTTTTCAAGGCCAAAGGCAATCAGTGGCCGATCCTTCATCAGACAGTGCGCAGTTTGGGCCTGTTGTTTTCCACGGTATATTATGACATGACTAGACTGGTATGGTGTATAAGATTATAAGTGTTAACTGTAGAGATTAAGAGGCTAGATTTATATGGATTGGAAAGATAAACAAAACGAATTAATACAGTTCTCCATTACAACGACGTTACTTAGAACCATCATTACCATTCTAATAATAAATATCAACTTTAGTGGAACTTCGGACATCTTTTAAGGGACAGGTCACTTTTACTTGTAGTTTTGAGGCTAGAAGAGTTGTCTATTCCTAGGAAAATACTATTTTCCGTCTCATGGCTTCAGTGAATAAACTTCTGGCTCTCCACAAAAGTACTTACAGAAATTATGGCCCCCAACGCTCTTGAAATAGAGAAAATTATGTTCTACATTCTCTTTAATGTGTGCGTTCATGGATGTTTTAGAAAATTCTACCATTTTGAAGCATCAATACCCTCATTTGCGATTAGTGTACCTTTAAGCCCTGTGCAGGCTTTCTCACCTGACAACAAACCTCCGAGCACACAAGATAAGTATTGGTTAAATGTTAAAACGTTTTCTGAAGCGCATCTAAGCCTGGCTCCTAAAGAACTTCTCTCAATGAACAAAGAACCCTCGCTAAGTTATAGGCTTTAAGTTGAATTTAAGGTAATGAATTGAAGCAGAAAAGTTCGCGAAGTTCTTTCATGGAAGGCAAATCTATTAACATTTCTGGAAAAAACCATCAGATCAGCCATACATCAGTGATGTTCTCGTGACCAATTTGCAAGTATCACATAAAAATTGACGCTATTTCATTTATCAAAGTGAATGTGGCAGCTGCTCTAAATTGGCTAAAAAATTCGAGAGCTTCCTTATCTTTCTCAAAGAATTCTGAAAACATCAAACGCTGAGTCTCCAATGAAAAAAGACTTTTCGAGTGCTGCTTTGTCTTCATATTTACTTGCACCCTGATTTAAAAAAATGTTATAATGATAAAATGGCAGGAAATTCAGATTTGATAACTTGAATGTTTGGCAAAACTCATATGTCGACTTCATAAGCGTAGAGGATCTCTATTCCAAGAAAAGAGTAAGTTGTTACTCAGAAAAAGTGAAAAGAGCTTGAAAACCAAATTTTGATGACACAAGGCCACCTACTCTCTCTACGGTTTCAGAAGCCAAAGCTAATTCCTGACGAATACCGCTCTTAAAAATTCCAATTAACGTCTAAAATAGAGGTGCTTCATTGTCCAAATCAGGATTCATTCTAACGCAAAGTCTTTTACATAAAATGGGTAGTTGGAAAATTTTGTGTGTAATTCTGAAGAAAGCTGTGCAATTCTAAAATTTATTCTTTAATGTGAAAGAAAATAATTAAATTGTGGCATAAAGTGTGACATTATACACGAATCAAATTAGAGAAACAAGTAAATGTGCTAGTCAACAAATAAGAAAAAACGATCTGTTGGACAGCAACAAAATATTTGCATCCTCATCCACCTAAACTCGTTCTTGGTAATTCCATTTTTTTCCTTGGCACATTAAGTATTTTGTCCTTTTTTTATCCATTAGTTAATGGCCAAAAAGATTTTGACTTTTGCACAAACAAGGTGGGCTATTGGGAGGTAAAAGGGCCATTTCAACTTCAAATCTTCTACTCAACCTCCTGAAATTGGTTAGGTTTATTCGATAGCCCTCTTTGCGATTGCTACACCGACAGTTCAAAAACGGACTGAATAAAGATAAAACAACATTTTCAGTGATGAAAATTATCAACAATTCTAAAGCAAGCCTTGCTTTTCTACCACCTTTTGCGCAGTATATATTATCCTAGAGATAATAATAACTTATTTACAGCATAATGATATGTAATAAAAACCACATCTCAACTTCAGACCTACTTAACAAAGTTGCTTTAATTTCCTGTGTTAATCTCTTTAATAAACTGAACAATAATATTCTACCTATTTCCATATCTCTTTCAGCTGTCCGGTTTGTGATACTTTGAAATATTGATGAATATTTTTTTCACGTTTTCGTTGCAATATTTCCTTTTCACATTTTTGCTTTAAGCACTGCTAATGTGATCATACCTACTAGGAACCGTATTGTTTATTTGTTCTAGATAGTTTGTTTTAAGGATCACTCAAGTCATGTTCGTTAGTTCCGAAGTAGGTCAATGCATTCATTTATTCCAAAAACATTTTCATTTATGAATCGCAATTTTCACATCAATGTTCTCATATTGTTTCATCATACTGCTTTTAACGTTTTTCTTTGATGATAGTGATGCAAAGACGAAATTTGATAGAGAAGAGCAGTTTTGCATGAAAATGATGTCAGACCACAAAACCAAACTTCAAAGTGGCTAAGGGCATATTTTAAAGCCAAAATGGCGATGTTCTAGGTGCATAGGTATTACTATGATAATATCACAGCTGAATGTAATGAAAATAAGAAGATAAATGAAGAGGAGCAGCTTTACAAACCAATAATGACAGAACGCAAACCCTAACACCAAAATAGTTTAAAGCGTATTTTAAAGCAAAAATAGCTATATTCTAGTTGTGCAAATGTAACTCTGAAAATATTGCAGCTATTGTGTTGCAAGGAGAAAGATTGATGAAGAAGAGCAGCTTTACAATCTAATATTGACAAAATGCAAACCCCAGCTCAAAAATGGCCAAAGACGTATTTTAAAGCTGAAATTGCTATATTCTAGGTTTACAGCTGTTACTCTGACAATATACTAGCTGATTGTGATGCAAAGAAAAAGATTATTGAAGAAGAGCAGTTTTAAAATCCAATAATATCAGAGCGGAAACCTTCACTCGAAATTGGCCCAAGCCCTATTTGAAAAACCAAAATGGCTATATTATAGGTGTACAGCTGTTATTATAATAATATTGTAGCTGATTGTGATGAAGAGAAGCAGATAAATGAAGAAGAGCAGCTATACATGCGAATTATAACAGGACGCAAACCCTGTCTTCAAAATGACCCAAGAAATAATTTTAGGGTACAGTGCAATATTCCAGGCGTACAACTGTTATTCTGAGAATGTTTCAGCAGATGTTGATACCAAGTTGACAATTTTTGGAAAAGAGCAGCTTAGCATGCCAATTGTGATTAAAAGCAAACTCTGTAAGTGATTGACTGCTTTCCGTCTTTCTCGATCACAGTTCTTCGTTCCCACTTCATGTTTACAATTCAGTTTCTTTGTGGAGCATTCCGTTCTTTATAGCCCATTTTACAGCTAATACTTTCAATGCGTTGTGACGGCGTTTAAAGAACTCCGTTCCTGTCAGCTTCTTACATCCAGAAAATAAGTGTTTTGTCTCTAAGCTCCCCTAAAATCGATAGTTGCCATCATCTCCCAATGCTCGGAACTTCTTCCAAACTTTTGTTTCAATCATTTGTTCCTGCATTGCAAAGAGTGATGACGTTTTCCTTGGGTCGGTTTTACATTTTTACCACCCAAAATCATCTTCACCATATACGTCTTTGGTATTTCACTTTGAAATTGCTTCTTTTCGAAGGTTTGTTGTTTATTTATTTCTGCTCTTCTTTCTAGTTCTTTCGTAGCATTTTCCAACCTTCTTTCCAGTCAGTACATCTTTCCTCGCCTATTGCAATACTCTCTTCATGAAATGTAGCCATCGCGTTCACATCCTTCATTAACCTTTCGGCTTCCTTTTTTATGTTTGTTTTTTATGAATTTCATTTCTTCATGCTGCTGCCATCCAATCGTTTATTGACGTCGCCCTGTAGCATGGCACTTTTGTTTTCGTTTCGTCATTAACTTCCCGTCAAATATTTCGTCAATACTTTTCAATCCTCTTCCTACTTCAGTTCTCTCCGTGTACAATCTCTCATCATTTGACTGTCTTCCATGAAATCCTTCTTTCTGCAAAACACTTTACACTATCTTATCCAGTTATTCCAGATCTGCCTTTCCAATATTGCATACATTCATCACACAAACAGCAACTGGAACTACACGGCAGTTAATTGTTTTCATAAAGTTTTAATCATTCAAGTTTTGGCAAGTTAGGTAATTTAGTCTTATTCTTTATTTCTTTCTTCACCCTTTTCATGACGCGTTTCACATCAATTTCATCTGCTTGTTCGCATCCCAGAAATTTTTAAATTTTGTTTTTGTTTGGGTCTAGGGCATCAACCTTTTCCTTTAAAACTGTCATACTTTTCCTTTGACAATTTTACCTTTCTTAAAACCATCTCTGCACACTTCTTTGCACCATGGCACCACCGGTATCCATGCTAGCCTTCACTTTCATCTCATTTGCGGCTTCGAGCTTTTGAAGATTCTCTAGGTAGGTATTTACATCGTTTTTTATCATTATTGCTTTTAATTTATCTAAAGTTGGCTTTTCTAATTGGAGTAGCTAAAAAAGCTAATTAAGTCCAACTAAACTAAAATAGAATAGGTCCTGTCACGACTACCGGGATTCGTCACGTCACCTATTCTATCAGTAACCTTCAGCAACGATCTTCTTTCTTTCACCTGCACAATCATTTATTTTTTTCTACTTTGTTATCTTTTTTTTTGAACTCCCCCTTCAAAGGAAAATCTCTCTCTCAATTCTCATTGGGGATCAGTTAATAGTCGAGAAGTGGGGTAAAGACAGATCTCGTTAGGCTTAATCAAATAGAACTAGCCAGGTTATCACTTCACCTAAATGTAGCCATAACTTTTCTTTTTAATAATTGGTACTGACTTGAATATTTGTATTTCTTCTTCACAACTTG